CCGGGTTCCAAAGAACTGAAATTCCATTCCACTAGCTGTTTCCCTGACAATAATAATAATATATATGTATGCTTCAATTCTTGCTTCAACTTCTATCAATAAAGAATATTTTAATATGATTTAAAGCTAATTTGATGAACATAATCTACCTACAATGGTATGGAAAAATTTTAAACCAATACTAAGCCCCTGGAATCGAACCAAGGTTGGCTTGTCCAATCCGCGCCGTCCTGTTTTTTGCTTCAGACATATGTTAATCTTATGACATGTGAATAGCAGAGATAAACCTAGAACGTTAAACACTCCAGTGGTCATTTCCAACTCTTTTGTCGGTTGTTTTTTCCAATTTAAGTTTGAAGCTTAAGACATCAGTTTGAGAAAATTTGCAGTTAAAAATTGCAAAAAAAAAAAAAAATTAAGCTGATGATTTTTAACTATTCACTGTTATGTATAGCCAAATTATGAGTTATAGAAAGCTTTGAAATTGTTCGAAGATTGACTTACAGTCCGGTCAAGTAATTCTCTTACGATTAAATACAATGAGATGTATTTTCCTTGCTATGAAATTACCGGACCCAATTTTCGAAATATCATTTTGGCTTGCATGTCACAACTTTGGCTAATCAGTCATCGTGATAAAGAATTGCAATTAAAAGGAGAAAGAATTGAGCTAACAAGTGAGCTATTCTATCGATCTGACAAGTGAGATGTTGGAAGAATATTTTCAATATTCATTCTATATTCCTAATATGAACTTTTGACAGGTTAGCAGTGTGGAAAAGCTTTACCGTTAGTCAAAATAAATAGTCGTTTGCTATCGCCGAAGACACTTGTATATACCCGTTCTATGAGACAAATCGTCAAACAGAGATTGGTTAAAATTAATGTGCCTTCGGACTGTCTCGTTATTTTCATTTGATTTCCCACAAAGAGTTGGATTCGAAAATAGTACACTACAAATAGTTACATATAAAAACACATATGGTATCCCCAGGCTTATTTCATGATTCACGTTTTGGGTTTGGGAAGCTGATCTGTATAATATATAATCTGTATATCTGAATAATATAGGCAATGTATCAGTCAAAAGCCAACATTCACGACTACAGAACATCATCGAAGGTGGCTTACCAGAATCGCTTATCCATATACATGTAGTTAGCCATATTATATCGCCTCTCTATATTTTGCGTGGGGATTTCAATATCATTGAGTGTCCAGCCACTGTAGTACCCGAGCTATACATATAAATAGAACTATAGATTGCGTATCGCTCTCGTTTTGCATGACCAACTGAGGACTTTGTCGGAATCTTTCCCGTGGAGGTTATTTCATTTTTACGATATCCACATCAGGCAATCAGGCTCTAAATATTCAACTTGGATATATTTATATTTGAATATCCAGAAAGTGTGGCATGTACCAGTGCAGATGGTCAGTCGAATATTTGTGATTTTTGTTGGGTGGCAAATAGTTTTATGGCAAATAGAAAAATGTTTACCATCCTTTAAATCTGTAAACACTCCCCTAAAATGCATAGCTGACGAGCATACTTTGTATAGTTGACAAAATTTAAACGCTCTTGATTTTCGTATTGCCATGCTAACCGTCATTTTTTGTATGGATCATGTGGTGGAAGGTGTCAGTACTCAGGTCTGTGAGGCCAACCAGGTTTTTCCGAATCGAGCCGCCTCACTGGACCGGTTTTGATGGATATGTAATCAGGCCTAATGTAATTTCTAACGGTACCATTGAGACACTCTTTATGTATAAGAAAACCAATCTATGGATATCACTTTGATTGTATGTTTATCGCCCAGCTAAATGTCAGTTGGGATTTTAATCTGGAGATCTAAGCAATTTTCAACAAATTATTCAAAACTTCTACGGTGACATGTGGTTGTTTGTATAGCAATAAATGCTTTGATTGACGACTACTAGGCAATCTAGATTATCACAATCACTATGGTGACAAGAAATGACCCAATTGTGGTCAAATGCGTAAGCAATTTTGATCTGAAATCAGGAATGCCGCAAAGAAGTGTTTCCATCAGTCGATGCTCATGGTCATTTAGTTTTTGCAACGTCTAATTTTGGCATATTCCGTAATAGTAGATGCAACTAAAATTGAAAGTTTTGCAATAATGTTATAAATCAATGCAAGGGTATTAAATCTAATATGGAAGCGATTTTGCTTATTAAAACTTCGAATCGTAATTGTTGTGTATTAATTGTTACTCGACATATCCATTGACTATGAGCTTCTATATTTTTTTTAATAAAAATGACGACAAAAACAACGGTAACAGTACATGCATTCATTTGCCGCAACCAATTGTTTGTTCTTTGCAAATTCATCGGAATGTATTACACAGATTGATACGTGTTCGCGAGTGCTTATACGTCTTAGGAATAATTTTTCATTCTTTATCAGGTCTATTTTTTGGATCATTATGATTTGTTTTTCACTTTGAAATTTTGTGTGAAGACCTCCAAATCAATAAAACTTATTTTTGGTGGTTCTGCGACCTCGATCTCTCGTTCTACGCGAAAGTTGAAAGTTTTGGACCGTACAGTACTGTAGGCCAGGGCTTCCCAAACTAGGGGCCGCGGCCCTGAAAGGGGCCGCGAAACGAATTTTAGGGGCCGCAACGAGAACACCAATTTTATACAAAGTACCTTATATACTGTATTTTTTTCAGACTCTTGATTCGAAATACAATTATTATACAAATAGTGTAAAACAAAGATTTCAAGATTTCGAGTGAATTCATCATCATAATACCGTGTTTTCCCGAAAATAAGACACTGTCTTCAATTTTCTTTCGAAAATAACACTTGGGCTTATTTTTGGAATAGAGAATGGAGATTTTTTATTATACAAAATATAAATACCGATTTCCGTTTACCTATAAATAGCACGTTTTTATTTAAAATAACTGATACATATAGACTATTACCCATTTAAAAAAAGAAGAAAATATTTCTTGCTATCGACTGGGACGCTGTGGTTCTCGAACTTCATCGTATTGTGACGACCTTCAAAAATATGCTCATGAGTTTCATATGAAAATGAGTTTCATATAAACGAACAAACAAAACTTAGCGAAAGTCAGTGAAATCGCAATTATTGGGCCTTGGTAGAAAAGCCTGCTTTATATAAATAATAAATCTCAAAGAAGATGGGAGTGCGCAACGCTTTTTGAACCAAGGACAAATAATTTTTATCTACAAAAAAACGAATTTCCAGAATTAAACTTTTCTATTGTAGCAACATCACAGGTAAGATCAATTTAATCGTTCTTTTTTCCAGTGAAAGTAGAAGATATGGGTTGTTTGAAAGGTTCACGAATCACGAAATTTTGCGACATCCTAGCAAAATTGAAACGACGCACTTCCACGAGATTGAGTCAAAAAAAAAGTTGCGCTATCGACTAAGTCATTTTTAAAAGCGAGATCTTATATTGGATTTTCTGTACGTAGGGTCTATTGTTACGTAATATAAGAGATACCCCTACATGCTGCAATTTCGTATAGGCTGAAGTTTATTCATTTGCTGAACCAAGTTCATCAAACTTGAGTGGTTTCTTTAGCATTTTAAAGAAAAACCAGGCAGAGATAAAAAAAAGAAACGTTAATTTTTTGTCTTCATTTCTCGGGCCTACATGAATAAAAACCTCAAAAGACAGGTAGTACATATTAACGATGACAAAATTGTGTTTTGTTTCGAGGCAGTATATTTTTCGTGTAGGTGCGCCATGAGTTTTTTCCCTGATAATTTGGCGTCGCACAAAATGCTGCTTTTTGCTAAGTTTGATCAATAGGAGTGAACAATTCGAGATAAGGACCATGCCGTCGGTAGCCAGACATCGTAATTCGTCATTTAGGCCTGTATAAACAAACATACATTGAGCCTTGCTAAGCAGAAAAAGCATTTGTACCCATTACACTGAATAATCGAGAAACGTTAATCTGAATAAATATGTGCTTGTTTTTGTTATTGAGTAGACATGTTAAAGTTAAGAATTAGCTGTGCCAATAAAACATCAAAAATGCATAATTCGAACTGTTTGGCATTATTTAACGTGGACAAGGGCCGCGAAAAATTTTAATATATTAAAAGGGGCCGCGAGCTCAAAAGTTTGGGAAGCCCTGCTGTAGGCTATGTAAGGTAAGGTAGACTATTGCATAAGGTAAGGTAGACGACTGTTTCGCTTTTGCTTTTGTGTACATACATTTGAGCATCGCTCTTTTGTTTACTTCCAACAAAGATGCATTATAAGCGGGGATTCCATACCGTCTTTATTTTTAAAATTTGTTCTCATTTTTGACTTATTTTTAGCTTGCGTCCTTATTTTTGGCTTGCGTGTCCTTATTTTGTCTTATTTGGACTTCATAAAGTAAGCTTTGTGTTGTTTGTTTTATCGCCAAAGCTTTTTTTGTGGCACTATAAAAGCAACACAATCTTATTTGGAACACAAAAAAGCAAGGCACAGATAGGCATGAAGCATTGTTAGTGTGGCGATCCTTAGGTTTTGTCGTGGTGGTGGTTATTTTAGCCTAAATTTAAAAATGAGCAAATGCAAAAACGTTTTTCGTGATGAGTACGGGAAAGAATTCAAAGTCAAACGAAGCTTGAGGGATGAGTGCTTCGCACACCGTGATGTCTGTAATTGTGACTTATAAGTTTTTTGATGCATGACGAACAGGATACTAAAACTATATAGCTATATATAATCTAACCATATATAAAAGAAGAAAACTTAAAATATAATATTTATTGCATAATTATATTTCTACTTATTTATCTGGCGGAAAACTTAAAAAGAAATTGGCTTTTATATTTAAAATATATAAGAATCATTGCAGCAAATCATAAAAGAACAGTAGTATTAACTGGTACGTGACCATAATTTTACTTAAACAGAACTTTATATAAAAATATAAAGATTTATATATAAACATGAAATTGCATTTGACGTACAAAATATACTTTACAAAAATCGTAATACTGAATTAATAGAAATATATAAAAAAAAATGGTAGAATCTTCACAATAAAGCTATTGAATACTTCAATGTAACATTATGCAACTGATATATTTGATTGTGCGGTGAATACTCGATTTAACTTGCTGTTGCTTTAATTGCTGTTGAGCTAATCTAATATACAAAAGCATTATCGAAAATCTGGAACGTATTGCTTCTTCATGTTGTCGTTCCTTCAACTTGGATTTAGGCTTCTGTAGATTCATGGCGACCATCAGTGCTAGTGAAAATGAATAATTTTATGTCTCCGTAAACACAAAGATAACTACAAACTTGAGACACACAGTTATATAATTCTATCGCCTTCCCAAATATTGTTGATCTGCGTATTATGCATGGAGTTTGGAAAATGCTCGCAACAGCTGTACTAAAATCTGAGTGCGTATTATCCATGGGTGCTTATTATACAAGAAGAAATACGGTATTTGGGAATGACACATAACACACGTTAAAAATTTTATGACTGAGCAATAAGAACATTTAGCAAATAAAATATCAAGTTTTGCCATACGCCATTCATCATCTTTCATTCATCGGGATAAATGAGAAAATTTAGTCGTTAATAAACTTTGTGATCTACAATGAGGGATGAAAAATGAAAAATAGCACATAACAACTCATAATTCAAATTGCTTAATAACTTCGGGTTCAATTTTTTTGAACATCACTTACACAGATATTGTTTCTTTCTCTGAATTGTCATCATCCTCGACGTCAGTTTGACCAGGAATTGATGACATAGACGTGACAATGGGATTGTCGTAACTGAGAGATAAAAATGATTTAACAAAGTTTAGTGATCACAAAAGTAAGAGCTATTGTTCCCAATACCAGTTCCCATAATTTCGTGTGTACCATGGAATTGCTGATCTAATTCAATCGTTCTCGCTTTTATGAGCAATCACTGACATTCATAACCTCTGACCTATTGCGACTTCCGTATTCACCGATGCACAAAAAGATGGAGCCTGTGATTCTTTGCTCTAAAAGTTGACTTTAAATATTTGTTCTTTAAACTAATTTTGCCAATACTTTTATACTGCAAATCACTACTGTCTTAGACGGGAAGCATATGTTTTAAAATACACCTATTTCAATTTTCAACCATACCTTACATCACACTGATCATTAACCGTTGGCGCAATATTGTTTGAACTGCAAATAAAAAAAGGATATATACAACAATGAGTTGTCCTTTTGTATCGTTTGAATTCTTTTTCATGAAAGAAAACACAGATGTTTACAAAGCTCGAATATCAATGGTAAATTAAGATTTGCAAAGATGATGTTGTTCAATAATTTATCTTGACGGTTCCCAATGAAGGAAAGAATGTTTTCAGAGAAAATATTCCATTTGTTTTTTATTCGCGTTTGGTATTACAAATATTTTTTATTTATGAAGCGCTATTGTAATGAAAATAAGCGAAGACATTGCTGATGCTCTTATACTAAAAATCACCACTTTTTCGACTGGAAGCATTTGTTTTAAAATACATCTATTCAAATTTTCAACCTTACCTTGTGCTTGGATTCGTCTGGTTAATAACCGCTGTTGCTTGGTCATTGTTCGGGCTGTAAATAATAATTATATGTACAATAATCAGTCGTCCTTACATCGATGGATTTTTTTTTGTGGAAGAAAAAGTAGATGTTGAATTTACGAATGGTAAATTAGCATTCGCAGAGATGATATTTTTCAATATTCTATGTCAACGTTTGCCAACCGAGAAGAAATTTCTCCACGAGAGGATTTGAATCTTTTTGATGAATTTGATTTTTTATTGCGTATAATATTTCGAATATTGTCAATTATTCAGCACCATTGTAATGTATATATAAGCGATTTAAAATATACAAACGTCAGAGTGCAAGTTGCACGTTTCGCAAGCAAATGTCTCATTAAAGATTGAATAACAAATGAAAATGGAGCGTTTGTGCGTAAGTTGGGGGAATAAAAAACTTAAAATAGACTAAGGGAGGAACATAATCTATCTGAAGAGACAAGTGAGAGAATGCAGACAAAATAGTGAATCGGAGATGCATAGCACTCACTTCTGAACCATTGAGATGCAGAAAACAGTGGTTTATAAATGCTTCAAATTTTAACAAGTAAAATATTCCGAATGCTGAAACGTGACAAAACGCTAATCAAGCTTAATTGGGTGATTAAATTAATTGAATATGTACCTTATCAATGTGAAAATAGTAGCGAAGAGTCAGGCTTTAAATTTTTCATAATGCTCGGTCGCATTAAAATTCAACTATCACTGGTATGTTTTTGAGGTTTCGAATACTTAGTTTCATAAGTAAATGGACTTTTTCCTTTATATATTAAGGGAAGGAATTTTTCAAAAAATTCAAGAATAATCATATCAGTTTTATTTCAGAACCACGCGGGGATAATTCCAATATATATATATATATATATTTTTTTTGAGTATAATATTCAATTGTATACTGTTTGTACGAAAATTGTCTCTGAAATTTTTGCAAAAATAAGAAAACGCTGGAAAAAGGAGACATTGTCAATAACCAAAAAACTTTTCAACTTACCCGACCCTGTTTTTTTCTCCACTGTGAAAACAAAAAAAGAATATATCGGCCATATATCATAAATGAAAAATAAATATTTGTTAGTTTAGAATACAACCATTGAAATTTTGCCAAATATATAAAAACGAGAAGCGTTTAATTAATCGAGTTCATTGCTCTCCAGTTTTACCAGACGGTAATCAATCAATTGTATCCTTGAGAGTAGTCTCAAGCATTCACTTTCATGTATGGTAGTTTTAAAACATGAACAACAACAACATAACAATAACAAAACGATCCAGTCCAATAATAAACAATGACAAGATTAGCAAATACCTAATTTTTCTCAGCATGGTTTATGAGAATAAGTGTAATGTTAGTGTCAACAAAGATAATGTTAAATAGAAAAGGTTTGGATTTAAATTTTAAAGTTAATTAGATATCACGATATGCATTTCACTCACCATTTTTTTCGAAGCAAGATTATCAAAATAATCACCACCACAAACAATATAGTTGTGGTCACAATGAGTCCGACTGGTGAAGTATCATTCTCTGACAACATATAGTAGAATGTATATTTGAATATAACAAACAAAATGAAGAATTATGATATTTGATCAACTGCTGAAGCATTTATAATATTTTTATGCTCTTTGCTATGCCCGAATCATGACATTTGTCAAACATTATGTCTAATAAAAAAATCTGATTTGATTTTCAATGCAATGTAAGAATAACTTTGTTTCTAAGAAATGATACACGTGGACTTGTAATCGTGTTTTGTGAGCCATTCGTTTGAACCGGGGTTACAAAACTTTTTTTTTTCATAGAAGGGCTGGACAAATACGTGAACTCACAAATGTGTGTCAGATCAATGGAGCTGTCAGAAGGTTTTTGACAAACTTAAAAAGACGCTAATAAAGTAGCGTATGCTATAAAGTGTTTTTGGCAAATTGTTTTTGTCAGTGTGAATTGACTATTTATCCTGTGAACATGTTTATGTCGGTTTCACAAATTTTCCCGGTCCCGAAAAACTTGTCATTTTTGAACATCGTCACCAGACGTTGTAGACAATTAAATGAGTGATTTCAATCACATTTTCCTACTGCCAATGGAGGAATACTAATGAGAATTAAAAAACATTTTTATAATATCGACAATTCAACTGTATTTCAGAAAGTGGCCGAGCGTTGACGTTGAAGGCAACTGTTATGACATTCCAAAGTTGGATTACAAGTCGTGGGTTGTATATTGTACAAAAAATGAATATCAGCGGAATAAATTTCTGAAACCGTTCTTTTCTTATGAAGACATGGTTGCGCCCCTGGACGGATACTCGCTTTATAAAAACCAATGTCAATACGATATTATCATTTGCAATATCCAGTAGCTTATTTCAATAGTAGTAACGTTAGCCCCGTTCAATTCTTTACTTTGTTCATTTCTACGATACATGGCAGCAAGTTGGCAGTAGCGAAACAATGACGCTACTGATTCTTTCTTCATAAATCGAACATTGCAATTAAGCAAAAACCGAAAAGAGATCATTATTTACATAAGCAGATTTCTTCAATTCATCTTTCATATTCGAATTAAGCGAAGTGCGGCGCGCCTGATTCAAACCACAGGACGTAGAGTATGCTAAGAAACTGTATAGGTTTTGCTATATATCAATTTGTATGGGAAACAGTTGAATGTATTTGATTTTTTTTTGTGATTTTGTTTGTCCCAGCAACTTCTAATTTAATTTTATGTATACCATGTAAAAAGATATAAACAACTTCACTTGGTATTGCCTGGAAGAACTGCATTTGAAACGATCAACGGCACTCGGTACATTACTGATATGCATCCGAGATCATTACCTTTTAAGTCAATATGGATGTATATTTCGCGTGTTTTTATTCCATCTGCTACAATGGCTGCACATTCGTACACCCCGGACTTCGAATCCAATACAGATTTTGTAACTGAGAGTACCGACTTCGATTTGTTTCCGGAATCCGAGTATGTTTGATATATTGTGAGCGAGGAATCTTTTTGGATTTGATCACCGTCTTTGTACCAGACTATCTGCTGACCAGTATCACTCGAAGAGCATTCTATTTCTGTTATTGGTAGAGCTCGATCGATCTTTATTGACTTTTCGCTTTCTGATAGCATTATGACAAAGTGTCCTAAAATTTGTTAATGATTTATAAATGTATTTATTTATACTGCAAAAATTTTATTAACTTTCCTTTTTGCGTGTAGATTAAAAGATGTTTTCGAGATGATCAGTCTGCCCAATTAAAATTGATAAATTGGTACATTCAGTCTTCTATATTGAACAATATTGACCCATCATCATTCTATTCGTTAGTTACTCTTAAAACTACGAACAAGAATATATAAATATATACATGCATACCTTGGTAATTGATACTCCTAAAATCAGCTGTAGTACTATTGGTAACACTCTTAGTAGTGCCTATACCAGAAACAATGCAAGAATATTCTCCTTTAGGAACAGACTCATCGTGTGACAGAATCAAATTAGACAATACAGAAGTAATTGTTCCAGATTGTAGTTGGAAAACATTTGATGATGAATCCGAGGTAATAAGTACGCCATCTTTATACCACCTTAGCGTTGAAGATGATATATTTGGTGCTGAGCAAGTGAATATTGTAGCCGCGCTGTTGGACATCTCATCTATTTCCAAGTTTGTAGATTCTATTGATGAAAAATACACAATGAGCTTACTATAGTTAACCGAGCGTTTGAAGTTGATCGGAAAAAATACTACCGATTTAAACAATATTCAATTGACAATGGACAATGTTCAATCGATAACTAATGTAATCAGTCTCAGTAAACCTTTTACAATTTATTTGTATAGTAGTAGTCTTGATTTTATTGAATTGCGTCCTTCTATAATATATATATTATGATTGAACCATTTTGTCAACCATAATGACAAAACAAAATAACGAAATTTTTCAAGAGACATCTTAGACTAAACTTTAAAATTAAAAAAAAAAATTAAAACTGAGTATTTTTTGTCGATCAGATATAACGATGTGCGGAATTGCCATGAATGACAACTGGACAAGAACTAAATTTATCATATTTATTTTTGCTTCTACTATATATACCCAACATTAGTAAAAAAAAGATCTTGACACTAACCTCCTGAAAAAACTTCCAGAATGACAATTTTTTCTGTATTGGCATGCGTAGTTCTTTTGCAAATATATTCACCACCAGCTAACGTTGTTTCCCCCGACCAGCCAGTTGCCTTCGATATAACGAGTGATTGTGAATATTGTTTGGGGCCAATACTTTGATGAACCGGTCTTTCAGAGTCGGTGTCAATTAATTTGCCATTGGTGTACCAAGAGAGTGTTACATCATCTTCGGAATAGCACGTAATGATGACGTCATGCTCCGGGTATTTGCCGGATATTATATTAACCTTGCTTACATCTGGGTCGAGATATAATGAGTAGACTCCTATTGCAACACATGATAAATATTATATCCCTTCGAGCTCGGTGTATCATAGACAGAGCAAACAAACGATGAGTAGATAAATGAACTTGTTGTAATTTGCAAATAAATCGATGTTACAGAAAAAACATTTTGGCTGATGACAATAACAGTATCACTTGGAGGGTATTAAATCGATACTTAAACTAAGAATGTAATAAAATGTTAGCTAGTATGCATGAGTATTCAGTCAGAGTCACGGTCATCAGCCATCCTTATTTTCAATATGCACAAAATCAATGAGCAGTACATTATACGAGGTGAGGCTAAAAAGAAACGGGACTGACGTCACAGACTGCGCAACATGATTACCCATCGGTAATCAACACTTTTGCAGTGTGGCGTAATATGTGTTCTTTGTTTAACAGCTGTTTTGACACAATATCGCAATTATTTTTGCTTTTCAGGATCCATAAGTGAATGTGATAAATTTTTTGTTGAAAAAAAAATTGCTGTGCGAGGTCTGATTGAGTTTTTTGGCGATAGGGGGTTCAATTAAAGAATGACGACTGAGCAAAGAATTAACATTAAATTTTGTGTCAAACTCGGGAAAACGGCGACTGAAACTTTGCAGATGTTGCCTGATGTTTATGGAGATTCTTCCATGTCCAGAACAAGAGTTTTTGAATGGCACAAGCGATTTGTGGAAGGCAGGGAGGATGTGGAGGATGATCCGAGGTCAGGGAGGCCTTGCACTTCCACTACTGATACCAACATCGAAAAGGTTTGGCAGTTGGTTCGCAGTGACCGTCGCTTAACAATTCGCGTCATTGCCAACGAAATGGGGATAGACAAAGAAACGGTCCGCAACATTTTGGTTGACACTTTGGGAATGCGAAAGGTGTGTGCCAAAATGATGCCAAAGGCTCTTGAGTTGACTGAGGAGCAGAAAGCTCAACGATTGAATGCATGCCGAGTTGACGTGCATTTTTCCAAGTTTGACACAAAATTTAATGTTAATTCTTTGCTCAATCGATTGAACCCCCTCAATTGAACCCCCTATCGCCAAAAAACCCAATCATACCTCGCACAGCATTTTTTTTCAACAAGAAATTTATCACATTCACTTATGGATCCTGAAAAGCAAAAGTAATTGCGATATTGTGTCAAAACAGCTGTTAAACAAAGAACACATATTACGCCACACTGCAAAAGTGTTGATTACCAATGGTTAATCCTGTTGCGCAATCTGTGACGTCAGTCCCGTCTCGTACATGAAAGACTCATATAAATACTCGCTTTTTCAAAAAGAACGCACACCAAAAAATAGCATTAAAGTTGAAATACCATCGTACACTAAATGATTCTATAGTATTTTACTATCAGGTTAATTAGTATAGCAATCTTTGACCTTTACCGACTTAACACAAAAGTCATTTCATCTAACAAAATTTGTTTTACATAGAATGCAGAATGTACACACAAAACCCGATATACAATGTAAATTATTTGTTAATTTAAAATTGTATTAAACTATCACTATTCGACCTACCTTTAATTTCAATTTCAATTGTTTTCTTTTCGTCTACTTTTTGGTTAGCTGCAATGCATTCATATACCCCGCCTTCCGAAAATCCGACATCAATTAGTATGTTCAAAATGGTAGTTTTCGCTGAAATATCTTGAAAAACTGACAGACTTTGATCCGTCGGAATAACGTCGCCTTCTTTGTACCAGTAGAGTGGAAGAGACTTAATATCGCTAAGTATGCATGATATAGATAAAATATTCTCAACACTTTTGTCGAATATAAAATTTTCTTCTGGCGGATATACGAAGAGATGTATGGTCACTGTAACAGAAAAATATGACTTTAGATTGTTCCTAAACACTGTATTCTCGTGAATTTATAAATATATGCCCACACGTTACTTCTTACTGACGTTCATGAATGTATGCGTAAACCTGATCCTACAACAACAAAACCACAGTCATTATAACGGTATTTCTAGGAATTACATTTCGGAAAAGTGAAAGTACTATTTATTCGGAAGTAAATCAAAATATTGGTGATGAATTTGATGGAGTCGTCGACAAAAATCATATGGATTGATATATGATAGGATATGAATGTTTATCTACGCTCACCAAAATCGGGAAATTCAAGACAAACTGTTCCCTCGTCTTCATTGTATATTTCTTTACAAGTAAAGCAGCCAGAATCTGACTTTGTCGCATATTTAACATCAAGTAGAGCCGACTGATATCCATTGATCATCGTATGGTTTTGATAAATAGAAGAACTAGAATCAAAAGTCACTTCATCTTTATCATAATGCCACCACGACACGTCAATACTTTCCTTCGAATAACATAGAACATCTGTGGAGTTTGAAGTTGGTCGAGAAATAAGAGTAATATTGGACTTGACGTCTGTAAAATTCGATATTGTTAAAACAAATCTGCAATTTTAGCATTTTATAAGAGAATTTATAGTATTTTTAGTCCTCAGTTCATATATTTATTCAACTAGGGCGGTTAATACACAAATCAAATTTATTATAATTTTTAAGGTAATTCGATTCTTTTTTGCAGTGTATTATCTTTTCAATACAAAATAAATAATATACTGAGATACACTATTTACATTGCCATAACGAAGATTCGGTAAAGTGAAACAAGAAATTAATATATACCAACGTGTCTGTTCTTGCCTTCCCAAGATAAGGGGCAATGCGCTAAGCACGTCCGTCTACTTTCGATTGGACTTGTACTCATAATTTTGAATAAATATTAGACAATGTGACGAATTTTTCATAAATAAGTCATTATTACAAGTTTGATGTTAGACCGCTACAACACGTACTTTTCGAAATCAGATTATCAAATAAAACAGCTAGATATCAGTAAAATTCCGACAAATAATGTCTTTTGATATCTCTGACTCATAATATATACCACGATTATACAACAACGAAAGTTTGAATAAACTTGCAAACTCACCAGAAGACACCACAAACACAGTTATTTCATTTCCACAGATATTATTATTCATTTCCTTGCATGTCAAGTATTTTGGATGTATCGTTTCATTGTGTGAAACTGCTAACGAAGCTGGATAAGGTTCTCCTGTACTTATTTCATATATCTGATAGTAATTTCTACTGGTATCATTTTCCACCAAGTTGTTCCCTTCATACCAAGCTACTTGTGATTCATTGGAACATGAGTAACATACAACAACTTGATATCGAGCTCCTCCGCCGACATCGAACTCAATATTTGTAACATTCGGGAAAATCACCAGTTCTGTGAAAAAGAATTGTTTATGGAAACGGTGAGTTGGCAGACAGTCACTTGAGTTATGTTATTCATTATTATAGAATCTTTTTTTTAATTGCACAATAAAAACTCGTAACACTTAAGGCAAGATTATCGACATCTGCTTGCTGCAAACAGAACTCAATTGTACATACATGCGACATATATGTATGAAATATGTGGTGCTAAATACTGTATTATCGATTGTAATATGCAGAGTGCGGCAAAAGGGGGAGGTTGTTTACCGTTTAAGGTGCTGAACCACTTCCCACTGCAAGCATGATATCCCGGAAAAAATCTTGCAGCGCTCGTAATTATTACATTACAATCGAACAAAAATGACATATAGTTTAATTTCTGACAATAATTCTAAGTAGAGTTTAAACAAAGGCATTTTGCATATATACAAGTATAATAACTAGATGCATTGGGTATTCGAAAAAACACAATACAAAGAATTAAATATAGGCTGATATATGAAATCGTATTACAGTTACAACGTTTTGAGTCTTTATTGGTGCAGAATTTTTGGACATTTATATACGATGAAATGAACTCATTCATATACATTACTTTACCTTTGTCTACTGCAAATGTATCTTCAGAATAGGTTTCATATAAGAAGACAGTAACTACAACAAGTAATTTTAAAATTTCCATTGTTGTCAGTATTGCTATCAATAGACGAGTTGCTTCACATTTGACCGGATACAATACATATCACCTTAATGTTAAGGCTAAAGTATGCAATATGTCTCGTTTAGACAATCCTCGAAGTGTTCGTACATAAGATATTCGTGTAAATAATTTACAAATTTGAAACTCCTGGTGTTTACTCAAGATAGGCTAACGTACATCTTAGTTATCTTTCTGTAGTGCATTGTAGAGACTGGAGCGACTCCCCGGGTAGACTGTTTATTTAGCACTTATAGTTCACAAAATATCATCCATCTATGTTTGTTTGAGATAACGTGTGTACATCACAAGCTCAAGAACTTAAAGTGATTTGTAAACTGAATCTGAAACTTTGTAGTCTACCTAAATTGACGAAAAAGGTCCTCACGAACTGATCTCTTTCTATTGAGAGTAGAGAGAGATGATACTGTCATTAGGCTTCGGTCGTCAAGTTATATCTTTAATTTCTAAGGGCACCTTTAACAAGAATTTCTCTGCTCGAAAAGCCAAACAAATAAATCATCAACTTGGTTCACGTAGTTCGTGAACTTGAAACGGAGAATCAAATACAACAATTATTTATTTATATCAAAAAGAAATGTGAAAAAATGAAGTTGTATTGAACTGTAAAAAAATGAGACAGGAGGGACACCTTCAGTGATGTCTTGGGAACTGTGATTGGAAATCATGTTGATAACTCTGTAAAAATCTTCTTATTGTAAGCAGTAGTAACAGATGCAAATACCAGAACTCTTTTTCGACTCATAATATGTTGTACCAAACAAATAGCTTTGACTCTAAGCTTCTTTTTGAACATGAAATAACTATATAGATGGTTTTCACATAATTGCTGCAAAGTTGGTGCTGTTCCGTTCGAAAGAAGATGCTTTACCCTGCAACTAATTATCCAACTAATTATCCAAATTTACCACCCAGATTCTTCACTCGACAAAGCCGGTGCTGAGTTACGATCTTATAGGTAGTGACAAGAATTGCCACAGAAGTGTACTTGATGTTTAATGGTGATTTGAAGTACCGTATTGGTATGTTCAAATAATATATTTCTGTGTAAATATGATGGGCTACTAACGTACCAAAATTAGTCGTGTGATCACCGTTGCTGTATATATAAACATAGCTCTACTATAATTTATTTTGTCAGCTGGCGGTGCAACAACATTATTCATCTACACGAATATTAAGGTTGGCAAATTTGGGGTTAGTTCTACATTGTTTATTTTTTCTTCCATAAGTTCATTTGATTATATTTATCTGTACATTTAATTCCTCAAACCCAAAGTGAATTGCATTTGAAAATTGATGGGTTGCCACACCAAGCTAAGAGTGGATTTGCAGATTTGAATCCCATAGAGGTGCAACACAATTTACTTTAAATTATTCAGGTCATGATATTAAGTGGAGTATCAGAAATCAAGGAAACACTATCGACTGCAATAAGACAGCATTTTACATTGTGATAACGTCATCATGGAGCACGAGAACAGAAAACACTCGGCTGATTCTTACGTACACTGTACGGCCTAATTTCCCAATAAAATAAGATAGTCGCTAACCTTCAGATACATTTATCATATAGGTAGGCTGATTTGTTTTATCCTAGGAGTCATATCGGCTTTTCCCAGCCATTTGCATCTCTAATTCACCTTGTTTGTATCATAAAAGATTTTGGGGATGTGAATACGATATGATTAATCTCGAAGAGAAAGTTATTGTGCATAATGATCGCGTAAATAGACTTTTTGTTTGACAAATATCAAATTATCATGCCTAGATACAAACAAATAAATACAACTAAGAAATAAATTACGAATTGGTCAAATATAAAAATGAAACATGTAACCTTCTTTTAGTGAAGTGGAAAAACTTTTAAAATGGCATTAGTAATTTTGCCATTAGTCTTTTGATTGACATTGCGTTATATATTCTCTACTTAATATTCAAGATAGATTGTTTTATTAGAAACAGTATAACGACAGTCAATAATACTGGTAGTTGTAATAGAATGAGATGAGTATGATGTACAGTCTGATTCTTTCTTGGAAATTTCTTCTTCAAGTTACATGCTTCAAATTGAATCCAATCCAAAAAGCAATATGCGGTTCCAGATATGAACGTACAAATACACATAAATGCAAAATATTTTCACACAGATGATTATAAATAAATATGATTAAATGGTCTTCACCTCGTCTTTTACTAAGTCATCGTCATCCGACTCATCCGTGGTTTCATCATCAAATGCTTCGTTTGAAAATTCTGTTGCTTTTGAAGGTTCGCTTTGATTATTATCATGATTTACTTCTTCATTATTATTTCTTAAAATAGTGAGCACAGATGTAAATTTTTGTAATAAAAACTGGCAAATAGGTACAAATTAGAGAATAGTCGAAACTCAATGCAGTGTTGAAAACTATTTATACTCACTCTGCACATTCGTCTTATTTGAATAGCTTGTATTAATATTGCTAAATTGTTTAAGATTGAGATGCTAAAAAAAATGTATCTGAAAATACTGGGAAATATGAGCCTTACCTCTTTCTCCAACGTATTATTAATATGATACCAACAATCAACAGTATTGCGACAATGACGGTCACTCCGATATAAATTGCTGCAAGAAGAACAAAATTTACAAAATGTGGTCATTGAATATCAAAAAATAAATATATATTCAGCGGATTCACATTAACGCCGTATATCAATCACATCGAAAATTAGAGTAAGCAAATTACAGCATTGGTTTACTCATAAAAAATAATACACTCCAACTTATTTTCTATATAATCGTTTTCAATTTTCATATCATCGTTATATATCTAACCTTTATTTCCAGAATTTTCTGTCACACCTGTTGATTCGTAAATGATTTCTGTTGTCACTTCATTTTGCCATGGTTCTGTCGTTTGATTGTCAAAGATTTTAGAAAAAAGTAAAAGTTATGTACAAATATAAAACTTACGTATATTATATATATCGTGAAGATATTGTAATCAGATATGCATTTATATGCGAACTATACAAAATATCATCACAAAACCTTCAACGTTATCGCTGATGACAAGTGAAATAGTCAAGGTGAATGGCTATCGAAACAATTATTAAATTGAAATGAGTTTCTGGTAGAATTCTGTACCATATGATCGGTTACCTGTAGTCGGCGGCAAACTTTCATTTGTTGTTTCAACAGGTATTGTCGTTGTTTCTCGTGTTGTACTTTCATCTGCTGTGTACAATATGTGTTTTATATTAATTTAAACCTCTAAATTCAATGGATTTAATATGGAATATATTTCCTAATAAAATTATTCAATTTTCTAATTTGATTCGTCAAACAGGAATATCTTTTTATGCAAATTCATGATTTTTGTTCCTACTTTAGATAATTCAATACGCACCAAAGTTATATTATGTAGATCAGGGTGGTACAAGGTTGTACTCTTCGGGGGCCACAAAATTATTTTCAAATTGTTCGCGGGCCATAATAGTGTCAAGTATAGGTAAACAGCGCAATACAAAACAAACACTTTTATTGTACAAACACATTGATCATCATCACATTGCAAAAAGTCTTTCTATATCTACCTTTAGTTTAGGATTTCAAACTCTTCATAACGAAGAAAGTGCTTCCGCAAATGTACCTAAGTTCGTTAGAACATCGATACGATTCTCAAAGCAAAATCCCTACGTTAGAAAATGCTCACTGATCGGATAATTGTTAAATGTCTTTTTATATTCTTTTGTTGCCGACACAACTTGCAAGCATTGTGGTGTTTTCATGCACATACGCAGTTGAAAATCTAGTTGAATTGGCCAGCGTTCTTTCCAAATTCATGTTTACAAAATAACTGCAGATTGATTGATTACCAAATATGAGGTACAGGGAGGGAGGTTTTCTGACATAATAGGCATCATTTTTTTGTAATATTGTTTAGGTTATTTGAAGCAAATACATACTGTAGGATTTATAATGTTAGGCCATAACATTAATATCTGGTTATCATGTCAAGAGATTTTTCTGGTTATATTATGACTAGACAATATTAAATACGATTCTTTGATTACCTCCCATCAAATGTGATTTTTTGATTATGCCACAGGTAATGAGGCTGCGGGCCACATGTGTCCCGCGGGCCTGGATTCGGACCACCCTGAATAGATATTCAGGGCTCTATAATATTTTACTTCATCAACTTGATATTAAATTTGGATATAGTACTTGTAATATATGTCGAAGTTGTCGCAGATGTTGTTGAGTAGGCTGTTGATATGTCTGTTGTCACTTGCTGTGTAGTTGTATCTGTAAAACAATTCAATTACACAGATCAGCGACAGCTTATAATAGTAACTATATAGATTAATTAGAAAAATTGATTTATGTCAATTTTTTTAATTTTTGCCGATTGAACAGAAAAACTAAAAAACGATTCATATCCTTGATCCCAAAATTGGACCCAATATGGAATTGCGATATAAATTTGTCAAATATTACATATCATCTATTAACATATTATGCTCTAATCATGTTAGAAAATAAAACAATTAGTCAATAGTTAATTGGCAATAAAACACGCTGAACAAATAATAACGATATTTTTCTCCATTTTATACTTCCATGAGCATAATACTTTTTTACTATTATTGAAAAAACTGTACCTACAAACTCAGTCGTAGATAGCGGTACTGTTGTCTCTGGTGGCAATGTAGTGCCAGTATCTGTAAATTAATAGAATGTAATCCACTTCGGCTCTTGTTTTTAAATGTTTGAATGAGTGACCTATTTACAGTGAAGGTACGGAATTCAGTTGATTGCCTCTTCACATGCATGAATATCTGCCGTTCGTGAATACATACTTACATGCCTTGACAATTTTTTCATTTTAAAATATATACCCAAATGTTTTTATATGCTATATCGTGCTAACGTACAATTGATAATGTGGTGCTGCATGCATTCTGAAATTTTTATCTAAGTTATGTCCCTTCTGCTCTTATCGCAGTGTAGGAATGTAAAGATCAAATTGCACTTTTTTTCTATATTCTATAACAATCACAAGATTTCAAGATAGATGTACTATATTGTATAAATGAGAGAGAATATCAAAAACAATATGTAAGTAAAATTAAATTTTACAGTATTGAAGTTGTGTTTCAAAATGCTTCGTTCTGTAAATCCAGAAAACTTACCTATGATGTTCACGGATAAAATTCGGGAGCCCAAATCAGAAGATGTTTGCACTCTGCAAGTGTAATTTCCCGAATCATTAATTTCTACATAATGCAAAAAGTACAGGCCAACTTCATTTTCGGAAATAGATTCTTGAAACACTGCTGCTTTACCGGCTTGTGTGATTTGTACTTCAGAATCATCTTTCCACCATAATATTGTGAACGTAGTAGAGATGTTGTAGATGCATCTAACAGAATTTTGTGTTACCTCATAGTGGTTGATGTCGATCTCAAATTCATTGATTTCAGGAACAAACTGAATGTCTGTAAAGAAATTGTTTTTATATCACATGAAGCACGAGAGAGCTTTGCCCAAATATATGTACACGAAAATCAAATTATTACGTCCAAGAGCCTCAGTTTGGATGAAATTGCCCTATCAGTAGCACCACATCCGATTTGGCCTCGTTTTACAGACAAATAGTGTGATTGTTTCATATCACCAAATATCGTGACAATATTGGAATTGTCGAAATGTGTCGTACTGTCATAGGACTATTATCTGTCTAATAGTAAAAGCTCTTTTATTTCTTTTATTTCAGGCACTGGAAACAATTGCGTTGAGGAGAGCAAGCATTTTTTTACAAACCCAACAACAGCACGTCCAATAACATGATCCAAGCATGATTGAACAAACATAAAAGATTCCTACCTGCATTGATATCTGCATTTATCAGCCATCCACAACTAACCAATACGAAGATCAGAGTTACAACAAACATAATACAATTCTTTTTATCTAGTTATTGCACAGCTCTCGCGTTGAAGTTTTAATTTCAAAAGCTCGAATAAACTGATTTAGACATAAACAGTTTTACCCTTGTCTTACATTTTGCAATAATATATTATATTCAAACATGGTTACATCGCATCTTAGTTATACATTACCTTCCGACAATGATAATTGTAAATATTTGAATACCGACGTCGTTGAAATATATTATCATCAAATAATATATCGGCGTTTGCTTTGGCGCATGAATGAATACTCTAGTCTTGTCCAGCATACACCAGTCTGGATGCTGTACATTATTTTCAGGACTTACCGTATTCAATGGAATTGAACCCTGCCGTCTCTGAGCGAAGTTTCACTCTCACCCGGGAAGCCTGCGGCGCCGTATCGGCAGGACAATAAAATAATTCGAAATATTGGTATTTTTGAACGTTTATAAATTATTACTAATTATGGGTAGCAAATTGACGGGCATCTCAAACGGAATCAAATTTTATCACGCAGTGAGATAAAATGTTACATTCTAAAATAAAGTTTGTCAAAAAGTGAGAAATTTATTTTAGTCGCAACATATTTTTTTCTCATTTTCAGTGAGGTATAATCTCGTATTTTATAGAGAAATATTTTACCAATAACATAGAGCTCTTGGTATGCTTTCAGTTGATACTTGAATTACTTCCTTAGCTATTGTATAACCAAGATTATAGCGAAATATGCAATTCTACATTCTTGTATCGGATGAATTAGTTCAATAATCGGCCATGACGTTTTGGTCACGTAGCTACGCAATCTCGTGATTGGCGTCACGAGATTGTTACTACGCACAGTCGAGACGATTTGCGTCGCAAATTGCGTAAGATAACAATTACGGAAAAGTTTGCGATCACATTCTCCGCGGGACATCAACTGACGAGTCGCGATAAAACTTTAACCCTTTTCATCATGTCAACTCCGAGACACCGGATGCGTAAAATGAATATTTCAATCGCCTAACAAAACTAGAAATTACCGTTGGAAAACAGCCAATATTAGTTGGAATATCAGCAAAAATAAGTATTTGTTTGCCAGATTGTGTGAAATGTTAGCCGAGGCAAGTAAAGATTACGAAATTCACCGTATATTGTCTGAATTCATCAAATCGTAAAGCGCCTGACGAAAACTTAAGAGGTGAACTGAGTTACAAACGCACCTGAAATGTATTACACACGTTTCGGTCTCATTCGATTCTGGTTGTATCATTACGTTGCAATCTCGGTACCGCTTTATATAAAACTATACGAAAACTTTATATAAAAATTAAAGAGTTTTTCTTGTAAGATTCACTAGTATTAGGGCACTAGGCAATCTTCATTCTCGGAAAAAAAAGTTTGAATTGACTTGAAGCTATCCATAATCTAGAAGGTAGATTTACATGCAAATAGTCTGCAACTCCTACCGTATTGTGAATTAATGTTAAGTGGCACTATATGATATGACATCCATTATGGTTTCATGTTTTTTATTGTTCTGTTATGTACTGATAGACCATGATTTGGTGTATGTCCCTTTGGTGCTGTCACAGGTTTATGGGGCTTAGGCTGACAGTCAAATTTGAAGCTATACGCATAGTATGCGTAACATCGGGTTAATTACCGATTACAATTTTTACTAGATCTTCTCAACGACATAATCGGTATAAACGATGAGAATTTTAAATCCAAACAGAATTCTAATCAGAATCATATTGACACGCAGGCATTTGTTAAAACACTACAAAGCCATGCATGCGAAATTAATATATTATCCATCATATAACAACTAGAGAGAAATCTTTCCACTGAACTTGCCTAATTTTTTTATGAGTCTTCGCGTAGCCCTCACTTTGCACCTTCTTGTAATAAAACTGAGTTATTTATATTCTGTCAGATGATTTAGGACTATTAGCTGTTGGGAAAAATATCGTCAAAAATTACTCTATTGGTGAATATGTTTCAACCATTGGGGAACAACTTCGACGTCTTGACTCAAACATCCCTGTCCCATAACCATAGTTACGTGTTTTCATTTATTTATTTAAATTATGACATCATAGAAAGCTAAAACATATATTAAGGTGAAAGGCGAATATCGCTTGCATAATATACAAGTAATCAAGTTCAAACATTGTATCTAACTAGTATGATTCATAGCAATGTTCTTGAAATGTTGAAAATATCAAATAAAATAATAATATAAAAAAATCATAAACAGTTCTGTATAATATATATAGTATTCATCTTTGCATTATATACTTCTCAAAATAACGTACAAATTTATGTAAGATTTACAGTTTCTTCATCTTGACACACATAGTAGGTTTTCACTCATCTTTCTCAACGAAACTATTATTGTATTCACTTTTCTTTGATTTCTTTACCCTGGTGAAATGTTGATAAGATATCTTATAATTCATTTTTATGTATCTGTAATTTTTTTTATGATTACATTTCTAAAAATGAAAATATATTGATATTTGACTTTGCACCGAAGTATCGATAAATATCAGATGTTTTGCTTTAAACCAGTATTTATTTGTATTGAAGTTCATTATCGTTAAGGTCCTGTTTCGAATGCAGAAAAGTGTTGCAGTGTATAAAAAATCATTTTAAGTGACATTTCATGGTTGCGAGTCTGTCTTTACACAATAACGTAAGCATACTATTGACTGACTATTTGTGTCTGGTTCGGCTTAGGCTTACCATGTTATTCCATTCATGCATATTTAAGGATATGGTGTTCGATATTTAGACTAACTCACAAAGTACACTCTATCATTATTTAAACTCCGTTTTTAATTTAATACTTACATGGTATATAAATCGACTGGCTTAGATTCCGTTTGAACTTCAGTAGGTTGAACATTGGGTTTATAGAGTCTTAATAAAAGATAACAATTCCATTTTTATAAAATTTATATGCATATATACATGACAGTGTTACTGCACACACTGATTTTGTGAAATTGATGAATACATAAAAATGATGCATCACCAGTTTCCTCTTTCCCAGTTACCTTCTCGAGGAAGCGTTACCTACGTAACACAGTACATAGAAAGAGGTTGACCTACTGGCAGAATTATCTGAACAAATTTCCCGTCGGTGTCAAATACAGGTTATCCAGCCTTATATGCGGAAATTTTATGACGTAATACTGCGCATTGGTAGTGTTTAAATTGTTAACGCAAATTGTATTACAAACATGTCATTATTGCATTGCATGATTATATATATAAGTAATAAAGCCTATATTCGTGCCATGCGACTGATGAAAGTTTCTGTCATCCCACAACTATTGAAAGCTCTGGCTTTCATTTATTATCAAATATTGGAGACGGGTTAAATGTATGTTTTGTAGTTCAGGGTTTAGAAACTCGTTTATTTATTTTCATTATCACCTGTCATAAAGTCCATCTTCATCCACATTTTCTTGCCCAGCTTGGGTATGAACGGATTTAAAATTCAACTGTTGATACTCTGTATCATCGACGTTACTATTTTTATTCAATACCCTAAAAACATATATAACTTTTGTCATACCGAAACAATTTTTAGATTTCAAGTTCGAAATAAAAATGAATGTAGAGTTTTAGATCTAGACTAGATTCTAGAATCACAATGCTTTGCTCTAGTCTAGAATGTATTATGAATATCCATTTAATCTATACTATAGCCCAGGGCTACTCAACTGGCGGACCGCGGTCCGAATCCGGACCTTTCGAGTATTGGATTTGGACCGCACCTAATTATTTATTTGGATCATTAGCCCCACTTTTTGAATTTTCTATCATAAAGTGACTTTCATAATTTTGAATATATACGAAAAGAAATATAACACCATAATAAACAATTTTAATTTGCTACTAATCATTAGTCGGTCAAGGAAGTGCTCGTTTAAGGATGCCGAATATCAGTTCTGGAAAGACCGGACCCAAATAATTTTGAAGTTTTGTTTGCGGACCTTCGATAAAAATAGTTGAGTAGCCCTGCTATAGCCTTCAGGAATTTAAAAATATAACAGTGAATGATACTTTCAATAAGTGATGATAAAATGCGAGAAATGCACACACTGTCACCGGCTGTAATGTTTGCAAATTTTAAAAATTATGCAAATCCGAAGATGAAATATTCAAGGTTCCGTTAGTTGTTTTGTTGATCAAATTTTAAAAACGTAATCCATCAAAAACAATCATAACTTATACCGTTATCGGTCAATAAATGCCTATATCTGAATTATTTATATATTAATGTTTGCCCACGCGTATGATGCTTCTTTGTCCTCTGGTGATGATGGTTCATCAGCCTCATCAGCTTGATTGTGAACGGGTTGTAAATTCAGCTGTTGGTAGTTTGAATCATCAGGTATTTTATTTTTGTCCAATTCCCTAAATACAAACAAATACAATTCAAGAAACGTCCAACATATCCTGGCGATCCCGAAACACGATGTTTCGCACTAAACGTGTTTACTGAAATTTGATTCATCTTCAGTAGTTCTTTTCAAATATTCCTGTGAAATGGCTTCGAACAATTTATGTTTTGAGTAGAAACCACCAACTAGATTATTTAAATTAAAATTAATATTCAAATTGATTCGTCATATTCAAGCAAGAATATGTTTTGTGAAATTGCGTTTGGGCAAAATTCTTATAAAACCGCACGGAAATAAAATTAAAATATGCATCACAGTCTTGGTGCTTTATCTTGATAAACTGGCTAAAAACAATTAATCTAGTAAAAGCAAATTTTGTGCCTAACCAAATTAGTTGTTAAATTACTATAATGGCCATATTTTGGTAGACGTTAGCTCACGCGTAAAACATATCTTCGCCCTTTGACTGTTCATTGTCAACAGAAAATCCAGCAACGTCTTCAGCAGGCAAGAAACCATCATCATCAATTATTGCGTATTCGCTTCAGAATAAAAATATCTGTTTTGTAAACCATATTTGTATGTTCTTCTCCATTTGAGATATTGATTAAGTGTTATTTGAAACGAAGTAAAAACTCAAACCAGAAGTTTAAGTTGAATAACCTTGGCTAAATAACAAGTTACAGCTAATTTAATTATTCAAGGAATTTTCCGTTTAATGTATTAGTAGAAACATTGTCATGATCTTGAATAGTCGAACGATGAAACCAAGATGTATGTGCCAAGTGCCATAGTGCATATATGCATGATGTAATCAATTTACATAAAATTATATCATCATACTTATTAGGCAAAAAAACGGGCTTTCGATTATGAAGAACAACTTCTTCATATGTTCCATTGAAAGTTCCATTTGGTACAGGTGCTTTTCTGTAATAAATTGCAATATAGTTAAGTATTGTTGGATACCACATACCAATAATACATTTTAATATGCGACATGGCAGGCAGTAAGATAATAAGTCTTGGATAGAATTAGGTCCCGTTACCAGTAGTTAAAAGAGAAAAGGGCGACTTTGGTCCTGTAAACACGAACACAACAACAACTTATAAAAATTGTACTCATACTTTATGTTAGAAATAATGAAATTCAAAAAGGAAAATTTTTTTTCGATTTTGTAAAATATTTGATTGTTGGTAAGGAAGTAAAGAAATTAATAATACGTGACTACCCTTCTTTGATATATGTCTAATTGTCTACAACTTACTCAACATTTCGCTTGTCAGCCGGTTCGTTTGTTTTCTGTCTGTAAATGGAATATTGTTGTGAGTTACTTGTTTGTTCGATGAAGGTAACATGATGTTTATTTTTTGTTTTACCTTATATAGAAAAAATAATATGCAATTCAGATGACAGCAATTAAAACAAACACTCCTATGACCGCGCCGGCTATGGGACCTACAAATATAAAAAAAAAATCAACATGGTATATAAATCGACTGGCTTAGATTCCGTTTGAACTTTAGTAGGTTGAACATTGGGTTTATAGAGTCTTAAAAGATAACAATTCTAGAATCACAATTAGGGTTTTGTTTTTTATCAATTTTAAAAAAAACATCGTGTTTTAAATCAAATTTTTTCTGTATTATTTGTATTTTTTATTGAAATACCCCCTGCATCGCCGCGAAACTACGCCAAAACGTTGCATTCTGGCAAATGCACACGCAGCCGGAATTATAATTTTAAAATATAAGTAAAATTTTATAATTTGACTTTTGCTTCTATTGCGTACATTTATCGCCATGCTTGTATCTCCACCAAAGTCATAAGATTATACCCGGAATGTTTAGCCGAGATATCAGAGAGACGTTTTGAGTAAGAAAAATTATGAAAATTAGCTCACGAGCCCACTACAAAAGCAATTAGATCAAGTGCAGCCCTCCGGCAAAACGAGTGGGTTGCGATAATGAAGAATATGCTCATATCGGCGGTAATCTACTAATATAAACGACGAGACACCCTAGCGGCTAGGGTCACCATATTTAAAAAAGCAAAATTCCGGACAGTGCATGCTATTTTCATGACCTCGTAGTAAAAAATATGCGCACGGTACGAAATAACAATGTTCTGTATTATCAGATTCCGGACATTTGAGCGTTTTTTAAATTCTTCCCGGACGCAAAATTTAACCCTAAATTCTGGACGGTATGGCAACCCTACCCTAGCCTAGCCTATGCTAATTGTAGGAGTCCTCGGATGCAAAGACGCCACAACTAATCTGTTATGACGCCTAAATATGGATTTTCGAGTTCATGTATTGACATTTCCTCATAAATGAGGGCATTATTACGGCTAATACTGTTTTGGTTAATTTATGCTTAGCATGCTTTGTTTTTAAGGTTAAGGTGATGGAGCTTTTCAAGGTTATACGAACTCATTTATTCGATCGCATTTCGCGATTTCAATTTTGGCAAGATGGTTTCGTCGCAACAGGCTCGTTCAATTAATGGCTTATCGGTTGCGTCTTACTGCGCCAACCACTGAAATACAGCTTGAGAAGGTGTACATAAGCCTCTATCGATATTTGTGGCGTTTTGAAAGATTAATTGCAAATAAGAAGCGCTTGGCAAGTTTTTACGTCCATTTTTCTTCAACCTATTTAATACAAAAAAATCAAATAGTACAGCCATTTTGAACAAAACAGGCATAAAAAACTTGATTTAAAACAATTGTTTTAAAACAATTCTTTTTGAACAAATCCCTAATCACAATGCTTTGCTCTAGAATGTATTATGAATATCCATTTAACCTATCATATAGCCTTTAGGAATTTAAAAATATAACAGTGAATGATACTTTCAACACTAATGATAAAATGCGAGAGATGTACACAGTGTCACCGGATGTAATGTTTGCAAAATTTATAAAATTATGCAAATTCGAAGATAAAATATTTAAGGTTCCGTTTGTTGTTTTGTTTATCAAATTTTTTAAAACGTAATCCATCAAAAACAATCATAACTTATACCGTTATCGGTCAGTAAATGCCTATATCTGAATTATTTATATATAGATGTTTGCCCACGCGTAGGATGCTTCTTCGTCCTCTGGTGATGATAGTTCATCCGGTTCATCAGCTTGATTGTGAACGGGTTGTAAATTCAGCTGTTGGTAGTTTGAATTATCAGGTATTTTAGTTTTGTCCAATTCCCTAAAATACAAACAAATACAGTTTAAGAATCGTCCAACGTATCCTGGCGATCCCGAAACACGATGTTTCTCACTAAACGTGTTTACTGAAATTTGATTCATCTTTAGTAGTTCTTTTCAAATATTTCTGTGAAATGGCTCTGACAATTGGTGTTTTGAATAAAAACCACCAACTAGATTATTTAAATTAAAATTATTATTTTCAATTGATTCGTCATATTCAAGCAAGAATATGTTTTGTAAAATTGTTGCTTTATCTTGATAAACTGGCTAAAACAATTAATTTAGTAAAAGCAAATTTTGTGCCTAACCAAATTAGTTGTTAAATTACTATAATGGCCATATTTTGGTAGACGTTAGCTCACGCATAAAACATATCTTCGCCCTTTGACTGTTCATTGTCAACAGAAAATCCAGCAACGTCTTCAGCAGGCAAGAAACCATCATCATCAATTATTGCGTATTCGCTTCAGAATAAAAATAATCTGTTTTGTAAACCATATTTGTATGTTCTTCTCCATTTGAGATATTGGTTAAGTGTTATTTGAAACGAAGTAAAAACTCAAACCAGAAGATCGAATTACCTTGGCCAAATAACAAGCTACAGCTAATTTAATTATTTAAGGAATTTTCCGTTTAACGCATTAGTAGAAACATTAAAATTGTCATGATTTTGAATAGTCGAACGATGAAACCAAGATGTATGTGCCAAGTGCCATAGGGCATATATGCATGATGTAATCAATTTACATAAAAATATATAATCGTACTTATTAGGCAAAATAACGGGCTTTCGATTATCAAGAACAACTTCTTCATATGTTCCATTGAAAGTTCCATTTGGTACAGGTGCTTTTCTGTAATAAATTGCAATGTTCAGTATTGTTGGATACCACATACCAATAATACATTTTAATATGCGACATGGCAGGCAGTAAGATGAGAATTCTTGAATATAATTAGGTCCCGTTACCAGTGGTTAAAAGAGAAAAGGGCGACTTTTTGTCCCGTAAACACGAACACAACAACAACTTATGAAAATTGTACTCATACTTTATGTTAGAAATAATGAAATTCAAAATGAATTTTTTTTTCGATTTTGTATAATATTCAATTGTTGGTAATGAAGTAAAGATAATTAATAATACGTGGCTACCCTTCTTTGATATATGTCTAATTGTCTACAACTTACTCAACTTTTCGCTTTTCAGCCGGTCCATTTGTTTTCTGTCTGTAAATGAAATATTGTTGTGAGTTACTTGTTAGTTCGAGAAAGGTATCATGATGTTTGTTTTTTGTTTTACCTTTTATAGAAAAAATAAAATGCAATTCCGATGACAGCAAGTAAAACAAACACTCCTACGACTGCGCCGGCTATGGGACCTACAAATATAAAATCGGTAAATATATCAAAGTCTATATTTAATCAGTATTATTTATCGTTCTGGAGGACCAAAAATGAACAATAAAAGGTATGAAAATAGAATGGAAACAGTAGCGTCTATTTTTAAAATATTTCTTTTTACATCTGCAAGTCTTGTAACCAAGTTTATAAAATGAAGCATTTGAGTTTTTATGAATATGGAATTACATTTGTCTGAAGACATATAATAAATACCAACTATTGATAAAAAGAATTCTGATAAAATTGGTTTGCTCTGTTAGTTTTCAGAATATCGTTTCGCAGAATTATAGTTCCACAGAAAGACAACACTGTTTTCGTTATAAGGGTTAGCTTTTACTTGATTGTACTTGTATACCTGAATGACTGACTCCTACTGTGGCTTTTTCATTACCTATTTGCTATCCGCACAGAGAGAAACAACGTTGTTTAAAAATTTCATCATATAGGTCTCGATTACAAATTCTTGTTTACAAGTTGATGTAGTAAAAATGTTTATTCATATTCAAATCACAACCATCTCGATCATGATTCATTCACTACTATTGCGCATTATTTTTGTTTCGTTTATTAGCTCTGCGTACTTGTATCCATGTGCATGCATGATATACCCGTTTGATAGTTACCGGCATTGCTGGGTGAATTTTCCTTTGTTGGTGATATTGACTGCGTTATTTCGCTCATATTCGGCTTATCGTTGGTTACTGTAACAACAACATAATATTGAAACGATTGTTATGTCCACTACGTGTCCAAACAGACATAAAATAAAAATGGGACCATTGATACTAAAGATCAGCATTTTCCAAACTTTTTTGGCCACGGAACACTTACGCTTTTTATCTCGCCTCGCGGAACACCAAAAATGAAAAGGTAAAATTGATAAAGAAAAATGGTGTATTGCAGCGGTCCCAAAAAGTGCGCTACTACAGTACTAGTGCGCCGCGGCGCGTTGCCAAATGCGCCGCGAAAACTAACAAAAGTGTATTCAACATACCTAAAATATGATTGAATATTTGTGTATGTATGTCTGAAGAAGTCTGACCTTTGTCAGACGAAACGTTACAGGAAGATATTTGTGTTAGTGTGTAGCAAGACTCTTGAATCACTTAGGATTGTTATCTCTACTCTTGCTACAGCATCCTTGCAATATATGTCTACGGATCCACCGGCACAAAAGAAATAGAAGAAGGATAAGTAGTTAGTCTCGCAGAAACCAAATAATCAGCGGATATTTTGCATATTGCATTCAAATGTTTATTGCTCCTTACTTTAAATGCTGTGTATCTGGATCAATAAATTCATTTTAACTTTCTTTGTCGTTTACTTTCTATTACGTAGTACGTAATACGTAGTAGTACTTGGTGCAATTTTGCGAGCTGGAGTTTGTTTATCTGCTGAATCGAGTTTAGCGAACATGAGTGATTTTTTCATCATTTTCAAGTAAAATCAGGTAGAGCTTGAGAAAGAAGAGTTGACCTTTTGCATTTGTCCGCTTTAGGCCGACCGTGACGCGATATTGAACGGTCGCTAGTTGTGCGACAACTTCACGATCCCGAGATAGCCATGGCGACCAATTTAGTTGTAATTTTGGTCCATTTGGAAGATGCTCGCGGAACACTAGTGTTCCGCGGAACACAGTTTGAGAAACGCTGCTATAGATTATAGAAGGTAAATAGTAGATTATAAAATTAGTGAATGATTGGCTTCTGGCTATGAAACTAGCAACTGTATCTAACATATTTAAGACAGTGCGTAAACTTGAAATCTTTTAATAAATGGGTGGAATTTATATAAGTGCTAACACTTTTAACATTTAAATACCTGCGTTTACTATCGTCTCGGATATTGTTATTGGTATTGACGATGTCATTGATTCATCTATGTTAGTTGTTATAGATATTGTTCCCGTTTTCTCTACAATTTGTTGAACAGTACAATTCGGTGAAAAAAAAATATCCGTTTCGCATTTAATATGATACAAAAAATAAAAATGTCAGACGTCAAGGCATTTTGTATTTGCTTTTGTCAAATAACAATTTATAGTCCTTGTTCGTGGAATTATATTTCTGTCATAAAATATATCAGAAAAAAAAGATAATAGGTTGTATCACCATTATTTTCCACGTATTTAGTTTTGCATTCTCAGTATAAATTATGAGTATTTATTAAAGTTATATGTAAAATTATGAAACATGCGTAATATGTGATAAGCATGAAGATCTTGTGACCAAATATACATTTATACACTGTTAAAAAATTTTTTCCAAATTTACTAAAAAAAAATGGCAGCAAAAGTACGGGCCCATGTAAAAAAAATTACAGGCCCTATCAGTAGTATTATGAACAGTATTTTCAGTAAATTTACAGAGATTGATGGTAGCAAAAATTACCATAAAACTGTAAAAAATACTACTTTTTCGACGGCAGTAAACCTACCCACCAGTAGTAATATTTTTTACCTTAAAATAGTAAATAAAATTACTATCTCGATGGCAGCTACCTTACCCGACAGTAGTACCATACAATACTAGCATGGTGGTAATTTCTCACTCGCGATGACCGAACCACTACGAGAGTAGCAAAGCTATTTACTGGCACGACACAACAGTAAACACACAGAATATTACAGTTAAAATAAAAAAAAGAGATTCTGGAAAACGAAAATCATTTTATTACAATTGATATTTTTTATAAAAACCATAAATACACACTAAATCGCTTAAGGCTTGTAAAAACAGTTTTCGAAAGAAATTTCAGAAAATATATGGTCTACAGTCAAATTTAAACACCTATTAGGAGACGTTGAAAGGCTATCCATGCAATAAAATGAGGGCACAAGTTCTTTGTAGGACATAGGAATTCTGTATGTAATGAATACAAAATTGAGTTTCTATCGGCACTTGTTAGAAATCTGGTCTATACATTTCGAGGTCTATTTTATTACTCAATAGATCCAAATAAAGTCAAACAAGAAAACGTTTTAGGACTGGGTTGTTTAGTTGACAAACTTATTTTGAAATCAAATTTCCTGGATACCAGGCTATGAGACGCTGGCAACGTGACATAATAACGAGACTATTGTAAGAATTTCACGATTTTTTGCACTTTACTCTAATTATAAATGTTTCAAAATGAAAATTTTGGGAAATATCATGCAACCTATTTTGTAGCTATGACAGAGTTTCAAAGATGACAAATTCTAAAGTTAATTATGCAAGATAATTTTCAAGATACGATTTCAAGGGGCGTGAAGTCGAAGAGCGGGAGTTTGAGGATTTTGGTAGGAGCATGAGTGGGAGTTCTAAATTTTGAAGCTTGCAGAGTCTATACAGTTAATCATAGACGGAGTTTATCCACACTTATGAATAGAGTTTGACTGGACATTTTTAAAGCTCATGAGCTAGGAGCAGAGTTTGCAGAAGTTGCGTATCGAAAATGTTAAAATTGATAAAACTGGACAAAAAGTTACACTAAAGCAGCTAGCATAGCAGCAGTCAAATCTTAAAAGATCAGGGAGTCAAGAGTTTTGATTCATATTTTGAAGGAGTCTTGAGCAGGAGACGGAGTCATATATTTGCAAATGTGGGAGT